ACACACACACACACACACACACACACACACACACACACACACACACATGATTGCTGAGAGGGACAGTAGTGGGGGAATACAGTACCTTGTGTGTTGACTGGGTTGGTGGTGGGTGTGGGGATAGTAGTGGGAGCATCTAGATGAAAAGAGTAAAAAAAAATATAGAACATGTATAAGAAATAGGCAAAAGTCATTGAAGATGAGAAGCTGTACTATAAAAAAAAAAGTTATAGCATGCACACGTTTTATTTTTAAAGAGACAGGGAGCCTTGCACAGCGGTGCTTCAAGCTAAATGCTAAAGTTTGCATGCTAACATGCTCACAAGGATAAAAAGAATACAAGTATGCTAACCTGCGAATGTTTAGCACTGTCACTATGTTAGCTTATGTTAGCTCGCTAACATTTGCTAATTAGTACAGCTGAGGGCGTAAGGAATGTCATTAGCTTTGCAGGTATTTGGTCATGAACCAAGGCTTGGACAAGAGTTCTGACTTGATGATGCCACCAATAAAAAGTCAGGGGATCACTAACTTGTCGAAATTCAATTCAATATGAATCTGTGTATCAAATGTTATGTCAATAAATCATCAGCTGGCAAGATTTCTAACTCAATAATGTCAACCTCATGATGGTGCTACAGGGAATCAGGGGATCACCAAGGTCATGAGGATACATCGTATGGGAACCATGAATGTTCGTACCATAGAAATAAAATAGGAATAGAAGGAACATTCAATCAATGTAACAGGGTGGTCCGAGTGGCAGCCATTTTCATGTGTACTGTTGCCATTGTGACCATTGTAGCGGGCTAACTTCCGTATAAAATAAGCCGATTTAGGCCAAGTTGTGGACTCGCCGAGATGGGGCTAAAACAAATGTAGCACGTTATGAAGCGTCGAGGGTCAGACTAAAATAGTTCAATTTTACAACCCAACAACTCCACACTCACATGTCACAGCGTAGGAAAGCACATTGCTATCGTCAGATGATTGACAACTTTGTTTGGCTCATTTTCTGTAATCCGTGTAGCATTTGAGTATCATGGTATTGGCAAGCTAGCTAGCTAACTAGTAGACAGCTGGCTAGTTAGCATGCTTGCTTATTCCGCAATGCTTTAATGCTACACTGGTTACAGAAAATGAGCCTAACAGAGGGCTGGTGGCCAACGGTTCATCTGCCTCTCTTAATCCCATGTCGCTCTGGAGAAGGACAAGCTAGTTACCTAGCTAACTAGCCAGTCATCCATCTCCGGGTCTGCGCCCACTCTCTTTGCGGCGAGCACTTTACAGCCTCACTGATTTGATTGTCACCGTAATAACTAACAACAATAGCCATTTTCTTCTGTACTAGTCAAATGAAAATGGAAAACAGTTCAATGTCCGCTCCATACATATTCTATTTATATGGTCTGTACAAAATGTTGTGCCAGTCCATCCGATATTTCACTAAAACACAACTCTAGGTGGCGCAAGAGGACAAGTGACGGGGCTCACAAAATCATTAGCCTATATCCTTTAGGAATTATTGTCTGTATAAATTGCCATGGCCATCAATGCAACAGTCGACCAAGAGACCGTCATTGCCATGCATAGGACCGTGCCTATTACAGCCTGGCTAAAAACAAAAACAAAAAGACACTAATAATTCACTGTGCTGGGGTTGTATTATATTCTAATATGGTAAGCTATTGTATTTATTTTTTTGAAACATTTTCTAATTAATTATGAATAATAATACCAGGCAATCATGGAAAGGTATTGCTATTTTCCTCGGTTGCCTGCAATAATTAAGTCAAACTGCAAATTAAAGCACTCTGGTGGACTCCCGCTGCAGCACAGCAGAGCCCCGAGCAGCATCCTCCGCCCCACACTGTACTGATTAGGCCTGTCAACAACCCCCAAACAAAATAATCAGAAAGACAAAATGGAGGGCAATTCAGGTATTCTACGGTACTAAGGAGGGCTGAAAGCTTCCTCATCAGGGGAATATATGCCTGGCTCTGGTGCAGGGGAAAGATAGCACGACCCCTTGCTGTGGGAGAGTCGCAGCAGGGGAAATTGGCTGGCTGTCTTCATGCCTTTACTGTCTGCACTCCATCAAAAGACATCAGTGGGGGACCACACACTCCCAAGCTAATGATAACACATCAAGGACAGCATAATGTTGCCGCTGGGGATGGAGTGTATGGCGGAGATGGTGTTGATGGTGGTAGGGGGGTATCGGGGTATCAGGCAGAGATTCTGCTCTGACAGTATTTGAAGAGGGGGGTGGGTTAGATTTCTTTCCTTGCGACCGAAGGCGGTCTGATAGCTGAAATGTCAGTGTCTGGAAGAGGGAAATTGGCCATTCAGGTATGAGGGTCTTCACAAAGGCCGGGATAGGATGTGGCACATATAATATCCAGGCGAACAAGAATTCTCCATGGGCAATTTCCAGGCTGGCTGACTCCGGGCTCAGTATTATGAGGGCTGAAATATGAGAGTATTTTGCAGAGGCCATATTTTCAGGGAGCATTTGTATCAGTGAGGAATTTGATATGGAAAAATTTAACCATAAAGTGAAACAATGTAGGAGAAATTGTTTATCTATGCTTGCTTAAACCTGCCTGCCAACACAACAGCAGGGTAGAGTTTGCTATTCTTTCGTATTTGTTTTCTCTGGCTTCTCTACAAGCTAATGTGTTGAAAGTTGTTCCTCACTTTGATTCACATTTGATGAAACCAGTGTGATTCACAAGGACAGTTTCACAGCAGCCTTTCATAAGAACAAGGAGACCTGTGAGCCCTGTCTGCTCATGCTCTGTCAAAACCCAGATAAACATTGAATTTCCAGTGGCTTGTGAATCTTTGACTTCTTGTCCATGGAAGATGTGTAGGTCAGAAAGTCAACTGTGGGCTAAACCGCGGTGGTAAAAGCAGCATTGTTCTCCGGCCAACAGGCAATATGTGTGAGTTATAGCACCAGGTCACCTCTGAGTGAGACAGGCCTCTCTCTGGTCAGCTCTCTCCCACACCACACACCAGCCGGGGGGCACAATTCACAGCCTATTGCAGACACACCCACGTGGAGAAATGCATGACAGGCCTCTTTCTCAGCCTTTCGACCGGCCTTATACAATACACGACCACAATAGGACTTGATTTGACGTGGATTTACATCGGCCTCACACCTGTCCGGGCTGTCACAAAGTGAAAGGTCATTAGTCATTTTGAAATAGGAAGAGCTCGAAGGACTAGCAGCGGTAGAGGGTGGCAGCTGGATGAAAGAAAATTGATGGACAATTCAGCTGGGCTCTATCAATAATGCTCGCAAGCAAATTTATCAAGAACAAAACAACTCATTAAAATAAAGCTATTTGTTGCATTCAGTTGGTTAGACGAAAGACTATTTATTTGACAGGTGTGTGATGGGTTTAACAGGAGCAAGAGCTCACACATTACAAAACAAAACAGTAAGAATGCTAGATAAGACAAGAAAATGGTAATTTTGTTCGAAAAGTGTGAAGATAGTGGGCGGGATAACAGTGGTGGACGGTTTGAAGTCGTGCCTTGCTGCTGAGAAGTTGGACAAAAATAGCACAAGTTTCTCATGCTAAGACCAATCTGTGCTGCAGAAACACACACCAATTAAACCAATGTAGCAAGCATGATTAGTCTGGGGCAACAAACCCTCACATGGACCACAACATGATTTTGTCTGGCATTAAATCCTCCAGAAAAGAGGAGTGGGAGTCGCAGAAATAATTATATGCGGTTATGAGCATCTTTTACCAATCTCCTGTGTCTCATTACAGCGAGCCTGAGTCATCGCGCTTCCAACGCTTGTTCACCAGAGAAATGGTGTTTAATGGAAATTGGTAAAATATGTGGATAGCAAGTTACTAATTGAAGACGTCATAGCCAAAGGCACTAATGCTGATAGCAAATATAATGTAGATAGGAAGGATAATTGTTTTTTATTCTGGCCCAGAGAACATTTGCTTCCTGTTGCTTTTCATTCCTTCATGCAAGTTTAAGGGGGGCAGCATGAAGCAAATGATACATGAATTTAACAGCAGCAGACAGACATCATTCATGAGCTCTTAAATGCCCACAGGCTCTTCGGTGAAGACCATCATAATATTATATAACGTCTGTGTTTGAGAATAACATAACATTCATAAAAATCTCAGTGTCAAAAGAATCTTGACACAACAATTAGGAATTTAGTCGTGGTAGCTTGAGTAAGCCTGCCTTGAGTGAGCTATTTGCCGGCATATGCTGTCCTTTTGTTTGTTAGTGATCATTATGGGCCCATTGGGAACAAGCAGATGCCATCATCTGCCTGGCAGAGCACGATGATGAATAACCATGGGGTGGCAGAGTTGTGAGAGTCACAGGAAACCTATGTCACAGCGACAAACTCCCACATGTCAGCTGGTGAAATAAACACATAAACATCAGACATGTGATGGTGTGAACATCAGTATATGATCCATTATTGTGTATTACTTTTTGCCATGCAATTTAGAATATTTCAACAATGGAAAACTGGTTTCCCTGTGACTCTCTGAATGCTTTGTACTTGAGATTTTTTAAAGTCCTATACACTGTGTTATAACCCAGTGTATAAGACATCCATACATGGTTATTCTTCCTGCAAATTTAAAACATCAGCAACACCTTTCTCGTAACCACTCAGGAGGCGAGTTTTAAAAAAATGTCTAGGTGTAGAAATTGAGTTGTAGGTTTCTCTGACAAAGTAAAAAAAACAAAAACACCATACTACTCTGACAGCTTTTAAGACGCCTCTGCCCAAAACCTTGCCCCTCCATTAAAATCCTATTTACTGCTGGTGGTGACATGTGAAAACCATTACAAATGCATTTATTTACAAAAATGCACATATTTCAGTAACTGCCAGAAACATTTGCCAGAAAGGAAAAAAAAGTTACAGTGCTGTTTTTTTCAACACACAGTTGATGGCTATTAACAAAACCTAAACAAGCAGACTGAGTATCGATCAAAACAATATCACCATTCTGACACCTGCAATTGCTTCCCTCCACAATATCCACAATGAGCCCATTTTCAGCAACAGCTTTGCTGTTACCATAACACTCTGCACCTCAACTCCATCCCGCTGCTTCGGGCACATGTTAGGCTGAAATGTGAGTGTTGGTTTCAGAAGCCAAATTTGACAATCTGCATCGATGGGTGGTGAATCAGGTGACGTGCTTTCGCATCATAGCATGGGTCGGATGTTCCAAACAAAGACAGAGCCGTCCTGTTTCTTTCTAATGTGACAATGCTAGGTGTACAAACAGATCAGACTAGTTCATTTAAATAACATATAGCTGTTGTCATTCTTCTCTAAACAGCATGAGTCCTCACACCTGCCTGAAACAACCAGCAAAACTGCAAACAATTATGTGCATGGAACCAGTCAATGAACTCAGAACAATCAGCTATTTGCTAGCCAAATAAATCCCCACGGATGGGATAACACGTGAAACATATAAATATAAAGAATTACAGTAATTAATAATAATTAATAAAATGTCCTATTCTACGTTTCTAATGCCCATCAGGAAAAATGGACAGTAGTAAGTATAAGGGTAATGCTGAATTCATCATATCCAAAAGATCTCCTCCAGACACACTTAAAGACATATAAAAAATACTTAATGATACTGCTTTGAATAATAAGTTGGGTTACAAAAAAAAGTTTGATTACAGAAAAAAACCCTTAAAATGACACTTTCTCACATATTATATTAATATGCAGAAGAACTCCTGGTCAAGATGATACTTCACTGCAAAGCCCATTCTCAGTGTCATTATGTCTACTGGAGGCTTCAGGTTTCATCACATTACGTCTTGATTAAGTTGCATACTGGTTCCAGACTCGTTGCGATGGTAACAAAAGCATGCTTGCATATAAGTACACATCTAAAACTCAGATTTTAAGTCAGCACAGAACAACCTTCACTCTTCAACAGATGAATGTGAGCAGAAACATGCACAGTCATGTTTGTGAAGCAACAATAAGTAAAACACATTTTTAAGGGCGGGGACAGTTTGTGCATTGTGATTTTGACGCGATCAAAAGGACTACAGATGGATGGATGGATATTTAGCTTGATGGAAAAGCAGACTCTAATCTAACCCAAACATCAAGAAATATTGCTAATCCTCACTTTTTGTTTAACATAAAGCCTTACAAGTAACCAAGAGTTAACCTGTGCTAGGTTTAGATTTGATGATAAAAACAGTATTTGTACATATTACTTAAGAGTCTATATAGGAAACACAGTTTCACCCTTCCTGGTTTGGGTATGGTCACTGCCAGACAATGTTCTTGGCACACAGGCAGAAACAAATTGAAACTTGGGAGTAAAATACAAAATGCTCTTCTAAACAGCAGGGAGCAGGCGCTCCAAGGAGAGAAAGCTCACCAACAATGGCTGCACCTGCTGCAAATTTATTTTCCCCTCATCCTCATCACCCCTGCCAGCCACCAAAAATAGGAAATTAAGGTCCGAGGAGTGTGTGCCTCACTGACGACACGTTACATGATTTGTAAATGATTTACAAACTTCAAACAGCTACCTCCTGCTGTTCTCCCTTGGGGACTCAAGTGCAACCAATGCCTGGTGCTCCTTTAAATAGTCAAGTTGTTTGCAAAACAGTTTCAAAATATTTCAGATGATGTGGATTCACTCCCTTTTTTGTTTTATTGAGGATTGTGATGTGTTGAAAAGAAAGGAAAACACAAAAAACAATGTGTTATGGCTGACAGACATGTTAAGATAAAAAGAACAAGAAGCTTCAGTGAGTAGAGATTCCTACTGAACACACAGAAGGGAATAAACTGCATTTAAAGTCAAGTCCTGGAAGAGATGGTCCCTTTATTGCCCTTTACTGGTTGGCTGCAGAACACATTGAAATTCCAACAGCTTCAATATAAGTCAACAGAACCAACGCCTATCTTTATGGAAGAAATATGAAGTTCAATCCCATGATATGAGGCCTTAAATGGTTTTGGAGTTGGAAATTTTGGGCGTTCTTGCCATGAGTTAGATGAGAAGATTAACACCACTCTCATGTTTGTACGGTAAATATAAATAAAGCTGCAGACAGCAGGCAATTAGCTTAGCTTAGCATGACAGGGGAAAACAGCTAGCCTGGCTTTGTATAGACGTAACAAACAGCCGACCAGCACCTCTAACTATGTGATCTTACAGTTCCTGTATCAGCACTACAAACTGAATCCTGGAGTTGATGGTATTCTAACATCAAGTACAATGAAGCTCAATACTTACCATATACATAGAGTATGTAGTCGTCGTAGGCCTCTCCCACAGTATTGGACGCCACACAGCGATAGGTGCCGTTGTAGGACTTGTTGAGGTTCTCGATGTACAGATCAGAGCCGGTGACCACGGCGTGAGGCGGCACATCCTCATCTACTCTAAGCCAGTTGATCTGGTGGGGACTGGAGAGCACAAATACCACACACATCACTCAGGCGCTGTCTATCCACGCTAGAAATCTGAAATAAAGGTCAAATCAGAGATTGCTTGAGAAGGGCCATTGGCAGGCCCTGTCTAATGATGTGCTTTATACAGCATGCAAACAACGGGTAACATTTAAATGGTACAATGAAATGTAAAGGTTAAAGGGGGTACTCGGACAGGCCAAAAGTGTGAAAGTTGAAGTGTTGATGTGCGTCCATCTGTGTGAATACTCACTGTGGTTTTCCTTCTGCGATACATGTCAAATCTAGATTGTCACCCTCTCTGGTTAAACCGTCAGGATATGTCACCACAATCTTCACTTCTGGTTTATCTGAAAAGAAAGTATTTACCATACTCCAGTGTCATGAGTTCAAACAAAACTGGCTTTTCCTTTATATCTGCACCCAAAGCAAAAGTTAAAGTCATAGAGGATGATGAAATGATAATCCTATGAGCTCAGTAGACATCCAGCAAGCCATGGTACCTTACAACAAAATCAGTTTTTTTTCTTCTTATCAATGCTAGGCAAAGATTACCAAAATGTCAAGCGGTTTCAGTCAAGCTTTTCTCTTCCTCGAAAGGTCAGACAAAACAGTAGTCTACCCGAAAACAAAAATTAATATTCTACACAGACAACAAAAGGGTGCCTTAACCTTTCTTTGATGTTTAGCAGTGTAAGGCAGCCTCTATTACCTTTTCAATCAATGCACCATTTAAAGAACACCTAAACATCATGTGACACCTGAGCACAATTTATTTGTATCCCTTGTGGTGACTGTATCCCATGGGCCAAGGAACCTGTAGGCTTTAAGACCAGAGTGCCAGGACTGCATGAAGGCAGGCAGGGAGAAACTCACAGTACACCAGTGATACTCAAATTACGAGCTGCTGGGGAGCCGGGTGGCCCGCGACCATTTTCTAATATGCAATGAAAATAAATTGATTCACAGTGGAATTGTTTTGTACTATTATGGTAAATAAGAGAAATGTATAAAGAATCAATATAGACTAATAGAGCTTGTTAAAAACAAAAAAAAGGCCTGGGGAGGATTCCTCAGACCCCCCGGCAGTTTAATTTAAATGTTTATTAATGGGCCCATGGTCTTCTGCAATTTTGCATCCGCGGCCCCTGGGCAAAGCAAGTTGAGTATCACTGCAGTACAGTACATCTATGATTTGATGGTCGGAGGATATATTGAGAGTCTATTTTAAAATCTGTTACTACACCTGGTCTAATGCTTCTTGCACACATAGTGTTGGCTTCGAGACACTGATATCTTTTAATGCATAAAAGCAAGTATTGCCAACTCCAGCTTGTGAATCTCTATGGGGCCTTGATGTTGGTCTTGACTTGAAAAAGTACAACAATTTTAGGTCACTCACATAGCACTTCCAAGTGTCTTTGAGCCAGGAGGTCCTTTACAGCTGGGTGGTCAATGATGCAGTCCACTGGCACTCCATCATCCTCTTTGGTGACAGAAAATCTTACACGGCTGGTGACAGTGAACATCCTGTCATACGTCTCCTCAACTGTTGTCTCACCTAGAAAAACATCACAAACACCAGAGGGGGGGGGGAAAGTTAACGGGTAAACAGCTCAAACACTAATCTCAAATCCTGCAGCTGCACCGAACCGCAATGACCATAATGACCAAATAGTTATAGCTAACAAGAGCAAATTACCTGTCATAGTGGAGTGCCTTCAAATGGCTTTTACATGTAATTTATGATTCAGTGATGCGTCACCCAAACAAGACTTTGGAGGATTCATGGCCTTCGATTCTGACGAGAGCAACGAGGAGTGGCTAGGTCATATAAGCCTGATAATGAATGCCTCTGCAGCTCGACGGTTGAGCATTGTTGGGGCTAACCCTGCAGTAATCTGCTGCCCACTAGGCCCTAGGCTGTCAGAGGGGCCTTCATTTAGAGAGCATTACAATGCCACAGGGGCATCGCATTAGCTGCAGTGCTGAGTGTGATGGTTTACTCGCACTTAATGAAGTGAGGAAATAATTACAGCCCCACTCTGACCTGCAGCACACTTCCATTTCAGCTTTGTCACAGGGGAGCCAGGCTGGACTCAGGGAGGGCAAAACACTGTTGTTCCACAGTTGATGATCACCAATACACACATACGTATGTGGCCTCTTGATGGACATTAACCCTGTGTAACACACACCCACCCACCCAAGACCTGCTTACATAAAAATTTAAGTACTAGGATAGGTAACTGGCCAATGCGCACGCGGGCATTAAATTCACCACCCTGCCGACTGCGGTGAGCAAACGGCTGTTTTGAAAAGCACACTGACTGTTAGAGAAGAGCAAGTAACCTAACGATAGTAACAGAGAGTGTGACAGTGTGATGAGAATGCATTCAAAATAAATGGCTTTCATTCAGAAACTGTGATTATCTTGCTATTTCGCTGCAGAATTAATCAGATGTTGAAAAGCACTGACTGGCAGTCCATTTGTTAAACACTTAAAAACCCCAAAATGACTAAAGACATTATAGGATGTAGAACATTTAATGTACAATAGGTACAAATATATCCAATGGTTTGCCCCCCGTTAGCTGTTAACTGTAGCCTACTTCTAAGTGATTTGACTTCGCTCTAAAAAGCTCTGCAAGCATAAACGGGACACACAGCAAATGAGTTAATCCCAACCATCTTTGGTTAAAGTGGAGTGAGGTGATCAGCGGTTACGCTCCCAGAACAATGCCATCTTGTTTCTCGCCAAATTACGACACACATTTCACATTAAGAGCTCTGTTGTCATCATGCAATCACAAAGACTAAAGCGCAGCACTTGGTCACATTTGTCAGGTCAATGAGGGCGTTCCCAAGCACACCTGCGCCAAAGAGTTTGGTGAAGTGGAGTATGAATTGGAGGAGTGTGATGATGAGTCATTATCCTCTCAGACAGCCACAATAATTGTCTCATACATATCACAGTGCTGCATTGCTAAAATGGTTCAGTAAAAGATTGGAACAGAGCAAATGTGGTAGGATTGGACGGAAATGTTAAAATTATTATCAATATACTGAGTTGGATAATTTCCAATACCTCTCTCTCTCTCTCTCTCTCTCTCTATATATATATATATATATATATATCTACAGTATATATACATATATATATATACATATATATATATATATATATTCACAAATATGAAACCTATTGTGGTGGTGTTTCTCTTATATTGCTATTGACCGCTTGGTTGTTTCTGGTAAAGCCTGCTTTCTTCTGTTGTGCTACAAATGTGAACAAAATGTTTATAAAACGTTAACATGTACGACCTGAAAATCAATAGATTTTATTTATGGTTACACTGTTAAAACTCTCAATCAATATGCATTAAGTCTGGGAAATGTGTCAAAAACATATCAAAGTCCATTACTTGCGGTTCATTCCATTTTTTTAAGTAATATATCATGATTCGAACTCTAGCCTATGTTTGCTGTGACTGAATTGCGATAGACCAGCTCCTGCTGTGCATAAGGGGAGAAGTTGCACAGCAATACACATGTGTGCGTTTGCTGGGTTGGAGAGAGAGAAGGGCGAGTGTACTGTGTGGATTCTGTTGCATAGTTGTTACATGATTTTGTAGTTGTGAGAGTGGCCTCATTGTTAACGATGCAGAACTTGTACAGCCTAGGTGGTTGCCTTCCTTGGTTTGTATCCATGAAGCCAGTCAGTACCGGATCTCACTGGCTTTAATCTGTGTAGATTGCAATTATTGGCAGTTTTACGAAAACTGTCTAGTTCGAAGGTACTGTCTCAACATAAATATTTGACATATACTGTTTACTTTTGTGAATCCAGTTTCTTTAATTCATTTTACACTAACTTTGTTCTATCTCTTGTTCATAGAATCTAATAATTTTCTGATTTGTAATCACTATCATTAAATTTGTTGTCTAATAGTGTTACTACAAAGGTAATCCACTGTCAGCCTTTATTGTGAGTGTGTTTAGCTTTGCTGCAGAGAGTGAGGATAGAAGAGGCACTTCAAAGTGTAATTTATGCTGTGGAGTTATGTTTCGTGCGACATGTCATGAAAGTAGTCCCCTCGATGGACAATCCCTGCTGATTTTGTGGGAAAAAAACAGAGCTTCCATGCAATCACAAAGAGACATTTTTAACCAAATTAGCACAAACCTGCCTTGTACTACCTTGTCCGCATGACAAGGCAGTACATTCTCAGGATGTTGTGCCTCTCATTTGACTTCTGCACCATGAAAAATACCAAAGGGATGGGCAAAACACATTTCAAGGTCAGAAAAATAGCGTTGCTTGCGCTGAGGCGCTGTCATGGAAAAGAGACCTCAGTTGGACTTCTACTTTCAATTATTTTTCGTCATGATATCTAAACAATTTGAATATGAAAAACAAAAACTGAAAGTCTGAAAGTCCTGAATCACATTTTGAAGATCAGACTCATAAAGCCATTATCATTGTACAGGCCAACCAACGCTTGTCAATTACCAATGTCATCCAAGCCCTGATGAGGAAAACAACTGCAGATCAGGTCGTGGAAGGACTCGAATCTGAATGCAAAGGAGATTTGAGTGTTGCAGCAGAGATGTCAAATCAAACGCTCTTGTGAGCATCAACCGCTGATCAGTCCCAGCGCAATCAAGCGTAGCCTCTTCTCAGGGTGACATTTTCTTTCAGTCAGTTTCTAACCCGAGTCTTCTGCCTGCCAACATGCTGAAAAGCAGCCACTGATCAAGCTGTTTGAAACTGGCTTAGACATTGAGATGATATAGATGCTAACTCGCTCCAGTCACTAATTCAGTATGGGACAACAATTATGTTATTCGACTGTTTAGTTAAGAGTCTTAAATCTGTGATATTAAATGTGAATAAATACGGTACCATGAGGGTTTATACACTGCTGTAAATAGTGGCTTCATGAAAAGTTATTAAATCATTTATTAATAATTTACAGATCAGTTATAAACCATTAATTAATAAGAACACCTTAAGGGTTGCCAGGTTGTGGACAATTTTGATGAATTAAAGAGTGAATGTGTAATGCTGGAGGAGGATTTTCCATAACCTGGCAACATCCCAGAACCATATTCACTGAAAGTAACTTGATCGTAAGTGAAGACGTTTTTTTCACTAAAGAAGAGTGTGGGATACTGACAAAAACTATATATACTATATTTAATGTTATTTACTGAATACATATTGTTACCAAAATCCAAAATCACTCAAAGCTAATCTTGAAATGGCATCTTTAATGGTGCAGTGCACTGTTTTCTCCCAAGTAAGCTTGACTTGAATTTTAACAAATAGAAGGTCAACTAACTTCTCTAAATTCTGATTAAATCTCCTCGTGCAGTTTCACAACATCCCATACAAATTTTAACGAAGCTCTTCCTGTACTTGAGCAGCAGTAGCAGCCGAGTGGCGGGCTCCACGACATTTAAATAATATTGCAGCTGTCATTTATGCTAACAAGCATTTTGCCACCTTGTGTTGTTTCGAGTCTCTCTCAGGCCGAAGCCCATCAGTCCCCTACCTGCCAGCATGATACATGGTTGCAAAACCAATTTGGCTAATTTGAAAGTGTGTTTAAATCAGCCAGTAGATTTCTTTCTTGCCATTACAGCTGTCTTGTCTGCACACAGACGCAAGACAAACGTGATCACAAAGATTCTTTAAAACCAGTGTGATGTGTTTTTTTAATCTCAATCCGTGCTCCAGCTAATGAATTGTTTCGCACGTCCATAATGAGTAGTGATTTGTGTTTCGTGGGGTACAGGAAGACATGACTCTCAAGCTCTCTTTATGTATCCACTGCCACTATGTATTAGCCTCGCTCAGCATGTCAGTGGCATTTCGCTGATCTAACCATCCTATTGTCTGTCCCTCCCCCTACACAACACTCGACAACTCATGAACAGAAATTGACTTCGACTCCTGTAGGGAACACTGGAGGCACAGATGGCATTTAGCTTCAGATTCTCTCTTGTCTAAATATTTCATCTCTCAACAAGCCAAATGAATCCTCTCCATTCTAATACATATATAATTTGACAACAAGCCCAGAGATATCCACTTACTGTGTAAATACAATATGACTAAAATGAATATCCTCCATCGCTGTACAATAAGTATGTAATGAATTATTGATGACCCCTAATCATAACTGAGAGGTAATAAGGATTTTTCACCACCCCAGATTATATACCACTCTCTGCAACAGCCCACAGCCGACCACAGGCACTGGAATGAAGATGAAGGTGCAGATATCAGTTCATAACCATCTTTACCTGGTTTAAAGTAAATAGAAAAAAATCAGGGTTGTCTTAAAAAAACATTGAGTTGAGTTGTAGCTAAATGTTTACAGCAAATATTCGAGCAATTTCAAATCCAGGCAAGCATCTCTGAAATCAAAATAATTGCTATTAAAGCAAAGGTTTTGTCAAATGTATGTCGAACATTACATGAGGCTGGATAGCAGCTCTTGCAGTTTTGAATGCATAGTTTGATCATTTCATGCTGTAGCAGAGCAAGCAGCCCGGGAGGATGGACAGTGGATTTTACACATGGTCAAAAAAAGAAAGAGAGAAAAAGCTGTATATGCCGGGCATGATTACTTCCTGTGGTACTGCCCATACATGCCAAAGACATAATCAGTACAACACTCATTAATGTTTTAGAGGAGAACTACATTTCGTTCACAGAAGAAGCCCCTCCAGAGACCGGGATATGTAGGGAAGCGGACAGGCCTGGAGCATGTGAAGTAAACTGAGGGAGGCTGTTATTCCACTGACCTGTCAGTTCTTCCTCCTCTTTCATCCATCTGATGGAGGCGGCTGGCTTGCTGCCCATGGCTGTGCAGGTGAGCTCCGTCTCGTTCCCCTCGCTGACCATATCCTCACGGCTCTCGATGATTGGGTTGCCTGGCGGGACTGACAAACGGGATCCGGTCAGAAACACACCGGCGCGACAACATTGGTACACACACAATATTTGGTACCACTTTATAATATGGGTTCAAAACACACGTTTGAGTAGCGTGTGACTTTGTGTTTCTCGCATTTAAGAAACGATCAAATCGCTATTAGTTTGTGTCAATAGTTCACACTTACTGGATCATCAATTATTGAATGTTAACCAACAGTTACTTCATACATCTCAATTCAATTTACAATAAGTAATTACATTCAAATTAGTATCACAACAGGACTTTACTTGAGGGGATATAAATCCAGTTAAATTGTTACAAATGGTGATTTCATGTGTGAAATGATGGTAAACACTTCAAGTGTTTTACTTATTCTAAATAGAAAATGTATTGGGTAGGCATTTGGCCCTTCTGTTAAAAGTAACACGTCCGTCCATTTTCCCCAGACTTGACAACAGCACCTGCTGGATGTTGTTGAAGCTAGAGTTGTTGGAAAAGCAAGCTGGTAAATGAGGCATGAACAAGGACCGCTGGCTCATGCAACATGTAGATGTTTGCATCTGACTACCAGTTTGATGAAAAGCAACTCCATGTTTCTATGAGAAAAGGTAAAGTCCTGCTTCCAGATGCATGGGTCTGAAGTGTTAACTTCTATAGGACCAGGATCAATTCATACTATAATAAAGTGACCACATTTAACATTTAGTTGGACTTAAAGTTAGGTTACTCTTTCAGCTGGTAGAATGTTCACCATGTTCCCCATCTTAGTTTAGCATGTTAGTATGCACAAAGTACAGTTCAGGTTGATGGGAATGTCATTAGTTATGCAGGTATTTGTTAATAAAGTAAAGTATTGCACAAAACAGGTTGACCTGATGGCACTAGATGAAAAGTAATTACAACTCATCCTGAGGGGGGACATGGATATTTGCACCAAATTTCGTGGCAATTGATGCATAGTCATCAAGACATTTTACTCAAAACCATGAATGTCAACCTGTTCGTGGCGCCAGAGAAAAGTCAGGTGACTAATCACATAAACTCATAGTTACTTTTTTATAGGTGAGCAAAAGAAATTCAGGATACATCCATTGATTTCATGCATTAAATTAGAGATGTACTGATACCACTTTCTTTTTAGACCAAGTACAAATACTTACATTTGAGTACTTGCCGATACCGAGTATCTGTATATGAGTACTTAATAATACCATTACAGTGCGAGCAACAACTTTGAAAACATGCTTTATTTTCACCAGATGTTCCTCACTTTCTGAAGTAGAAAACAGGATGCTGTTGCGGACATTTTATCATTAAACTTTGTCTTTTCCCGATCCACACAGAGCAGAGTTTGCGGTAGGGATGTTAATAATTAACCATTTAATCAACAATATAAAATTGTGACTGATTACTCAGTTAAAAGAAATATTATAAAAAAAACCTGAGCAAAACTCAGTGTCACTTCAGTGGCGAACAGCTGGTCCACCTTAAAGGTCAGACCACCTTAAAGGTCAGACCACTTTAAGTGAGATTAACCCATTGTTGTCGCTAGCTTTGGGGCAAACCCCCTTCCCTTTAACCAAGAGGTGGTAAGCAAGACTCTAGCAGTTGTAGCATTTATTCACTGACAAAAAAACCTGGGAAGCATCAGTTGACCTTTACTTAAGCATGTGTTTCATTTCATACATTATTGTAAAGCATTACTCAACATTCTACGCCAAAGTTAAGCAAGTACATGTGATCCTATGGGTGTAAAAAGTACACAGAATAGGATAAGGCACAGCCCTTCCTTGCATAAGTCATCGCAAAAACTCCAGTTACTTGAAAGCAAAAAGTCAGTGGGGTGTTCATTTCAAGGACTCTTCAGCCCTTGGTTCAGAAAATACTGCAGCTAGGCTTCAATTGTACAACTAGAGTAATTACTTTAAAGTGCTTTTAATTCCTTTCAATCCCCCAGGATGTCTGCATGTATAATAAAGCTTAACTGGAGTCATTTCACTCCAAAGCATCAAAGTGTGGCACAGCTGACTCTCAATAGGGAATCGTTTGGAGCAGCCAAGTCAACATTCACCAGGATTCACAGAGTCACAGCTGCCAAAACCAACGTGGTCTGAGCCATCAGTTTCAGCATCTGCTCCTTTTCGTTATGCTGTTGAGCACCGCGAGAGCCTAATTGGCTGACATTTTGTTTCAGTTGCTAAGATAACAGGATCAAAGATTACTATTATTTCATATTTACCATGTATAACTGAGCGAGATACAATAAAATTGTGTGCGAGGAGGGGTGTGATGTGTGCGGTTCACACATGCACCCTCACACCTACCCAGGACAGTGATGTCTGCATAGGCTTCCTGAGGAGGATCTGTGTAGAGCTGGCACACATAGCGTCCCTCATCGGAGAGTGACACATTGGACAGAGACACCCGCAGTTCGTTGTCAGAGAAATTCACCAGCTGGAACCGGCTGTCCTTCAGAGCTGTGGGGATACATGTGAGACAGAGACAGTGAGGATACAGAGAACAGGGACACACACGTGAGACATGGGGTAAGAAAGGAAGAGGGGAAGGGAGAGGGGATGAAGGAAGACAAAGGAGACGCAAGGAGAAAATGAGATAGAGAGCAGGAGGGGGAGAGTGGGGTGGCGGGGATGAGTGCTGCCCTTTGTGGGCTTTCTCCTTAATTGAGTAAAAGAAAAGTGAGTTTCAAAATGATTCATACAAGTTGATTTATAAAGTAGCTTTACAGTCCACGGAGCACTGGCACAGACAGGGAAGTGTGAAGAGTGCTCATGAGGACTCCTAACAAGCTAGGAACTCTTAAAAATGGTCTGCTGCTGGTCATGGATGGATGCGTCGAACTCACATATTCCAGAAAAAGGGAGAGGCATTCAAACATACATAATGAATGAAATCACAGTGCAGAGGTAGAGAGGGTTGGAAGCCTGGAACTCCAAATCTGAAGTAGCTGGGAATCTGTATACTAATGCCAGTAAGATTGGCTGAATTTTCTTTTAATGTCGTCAAACTAGGTTAGCCATCTCTCTCAGAGTTTTTACTCTGCTCTTCATTTGGGTCAGCCCTCATCCCTAAGCAGCGCTCTTAAACATCAGCTTTGGTTGATTTGATTGGGAGCCCTTTTGATGTTTTCGACCTGACTTCTTTATCAAGTCCTCTCTGCATCTGTCGAGCTAACGAACTCTATTCAGTCCCCGTTAAAAGCACGGGGAGTTTGTTATTCCCTTCAGGTTTTACACTTAGCATCATGATCATTACCCAAGGTCTCGGGGCAGTGTCAACATGAAACCTCATCCCCCAATATAATTTGAGTGCTCTTTGGAAGTCTCTCCTCAAAGGGAAACAATGACACTGATGCACTTTGAGAGCCGAAGCACCTGCTAGGGAGGGAAACCCTTCACTTCGGAGACGCTCAATGAAGTTTATACGAGGCAGTTTTATAACCAGCTGACTGTTTACATAAACGCACGGAGGGGGCACGCCATCTAGTATTTATCAGTGTTTAGGCATATTTTTGCCAATATGAATATATAGGGCGGCAACTATATTTTCATCAGAGATAAATCTGCTGATTGTTTTCTCGGGTGATGATTTGTTAATTATTAGAAATCAGTTTTCACTCATAGAAGACCAACGACGGAGGAAAATATTCACATTCGAGAAGCTGAAGCCGGTTAATCTTCTGTAGTTTAACAGGACAGTCTTTTGGCAGAGCATCACTTTAAACATTAAACCTTTGCAATACAAAGACAGACAACTGCTGTGGAAAGATGCAGTGCATGAATAATGGTATGATATTGCATCACCATCCATAGAGGTTCACCATCGCTGATAAAAGCTCATTCCTTCCATTTCAGATGAGAACTCGCCGAATTGCACGTCATTTCGCATATATCCAGCCGAATAAATACCTCATTCCAGCAACACTCGCTCAGCCTCTATACCTATGACACAATTCATCTTTATTTGCTGCAATAGAAATTTGTTTATATGACTTTCACTGGTACTGTAAAGCTGTTATGATTTTGTATGCTGTTTGTGTGTAGGTATCTGCTTCGGTGGATGCCGCTTCACTTGTAGCTGCTGTTCTTGTCGCGCCTGGTGTGTCTCTATGTCGCTGCTGTTTACTTCCCTGTATACAAAGATCTGCCACTGTGTCGAGCGGCCCCGTTGACAGGTAACAATGCCACTGGCTGAGGGGGGTCCCCAAAGAACCTGCAGTCCTTCAGGAACAAAGTCTAGAATAGCGCTGCCATGGGGATCACTAGACCCCATTACGAGGAACACAAACACACAGCAGTAGCCCGATAACATTTTAGCTGCCTGTCAGAAATCTGACATATATTCAGATCTATTGCAAACAAAACCTTTTGTGTTTTGTAATTGTCAATGAAACTGCATTGACGTAGACAGAGGAAATGATATGTTTACAGGAGCAGCTTGAGTAAAGAGCAATAGGAAAAGGTTGTCTTAACCTCGTGGAGAGATTTCCTTAACAGTACAGAGGTAATATTGATTGTTACCAGGATGTGAAAGCCAATTATTCATTGTTGCTCTTCTAAACTGACATGATCCCAGTTTCTGTCTACTCAATGGTATCAGTATAAATATTTTTAAGATGTAGAGCATGACATGACCTATGCTTTATATGAATGCCTTCTTCTCTGTCATATTCTCAGGTAGCTTTGGGTATTTTGTACAATTAAGACAAAGATGTGTCCATAAACTGCCCTGATGCTCTACACATGAGAGGAAGTGGAGCACTGTTCTCGCAACCTAGACTTGTGAAATAACAGCTGGGATGCGATATAGACTGAAATGAAGGGCGTTTCTTGTTCACCTTGAATCTTGGCTAGGATCCCAGATACAAACAAGTAAAAAAGCAGATACAAAAACTTGGTGGGAGTAGCCCATATGCTCATGCATAATCATAATGTTCAATATCCTAATCTAAGAGATTATCGTAAAATCGAACAGTGACAAGGACACAGAAGTATTCTCATTATGGTAGCACTCTGTATTATCTCATATTAATCTTGCCACATTCTGAGTGTAATGACTTGTGTAAAAGAGCCAAAAAGTCAAGGACAGATGGAATCACGTTTAACCTAAAGCTAGAGCTGATCTTGTGGTGATATCTGATACCTTGACTGTAAATGTCACAAGCTGAGTGATCCCTTTAGTACAGGATGCCCTGAAATGTGAAACTGACACAAAAACACACACTTCTTGGGAAAAAAAACAAATGCTGGCAGCTCCTCTTGTGAAACACATTCTCAAACGACATAAATGTCGTTAAATTAGCCCAAAGTCTGAAACGCAGACTAGATGTTGTGAATAACAGGATGCGAGGAATACGCTCTTCAGCCACAAATTGGATTTTTAAGAGCTAATACAGTCGGGTAGTTGTCACATATTTTCAGCTTGACATTGTGAAGTTCAACACCTTAAATTAAAGTTTGGATTCGATTTAAATAATTTTAATGATTTGATGAAGTTGTGGTGAAAGGTTTTGTCCATGATTAAGTAAGTAAAGCTCAAAAAACTTTAGCTAGAAAGTCCCCTTATAATTGTTGTTGCTTAGAGTATGCATGCATAAGAGAGCTGACACATTTTGTAAATTTCAACTAACGTTAGATTGTCACTCTCCTGACATCAAGTGACATAAGGAAGTAGCAAATGAATGTGAACAAATATATTACGTGTTCATTTGAATTAATTCAAACATGATTATTGAAAAAAATGACAGCCCAAATGCATTACTAGATTAACTTGAATGGCTTTTTAAGGCTAAATGAACGTCACAACATATCTTTCACTATCATTCTAAAATCTTGTTCATTTACACTACACATCTTTGTGTCTCCATATCTTCATTGAAATTGATTACTACGTCCTCAACTACAAAAACATATATTAGAAATCGACGCAAATGCTTTTCTTTTAGAATAATCCCAATGTGTTTGCATATTTCATGCCTACTTCACAAGATTTCAGGAAACATGGTTGAAATTGTGTCCGAGGCAACCAGCACTTACGTCTAACATCTTTGAAGTAGATGGTCTGTCTGTTGGGATTGAGCAGCTGGATGACGGAGTCGTCGTTGTCCTTCACTCTGCAGCTGATGGTGGCCATTTCCCCCTCGATCACCGACACGTTGTCGGTCGCCAGGTTCTGACCTTCGACTTCACAACACAAAAAAATACAGATGGGAAAAATGAAATATCAGATGGGAGGCAAGCATTCCTGTCTGGATATTTACAGCTTATCAAATATTTATATTTCCTGCAACGGGGACTGCATGTAAACACTTGCACAGTGGTAAATATGCGTGAATAGGCTACGTAGATTGTCTGATTGCAGCCATACCTAATCCTTCTAATATAAGAGCCATGTGCAATGTTTGTCACTATTGATCTCCCCCAGCTCAGAGTGGGCCCTGTGAGTCAGTGCCAGATGGGCTGTAAGCTCTGCTGCCCACGAAGGTAGGGAGAGAGGAGAGGGTAGGAAGGAAAAAGAGACAAAGAAAGAGTGTAAGAAAATGGCAAGTAGTGGAGGAAGAGAGTGGGAGTTAAACAGAGAGAGAAGAGAGAGAGATGAGCCGGGCTGGATGCTGTTTATGGTTGAGCTTTATCAGAGCCCTCCATCTGAGGTTCCATGCGACCAATGTGCGCTCCGTGTGCTCAGCTGCTCTGTATCTCTAGGAATAAAAGTGCTGTAAACATCTGAGTCACTCTCTCTGTATATTGGCATTGTTGCCACAGACAGGACCTGGACCTTGTCATCGTAACACCTCACACCAAATCCCCACACAAAAAGCCTGTCTATGTTTCCCCCACACTTTCAAAAGAGGGAACGAGGAAGGGAACGAGAAGTCACCTTGTGCTATATTTATCTGGCAGGAGCCAAAAAAGCGGAAGGAGAACGGAGAATACTTTTTAATGCCTCAGATTCACACCGACGGAGAAACAGCACTCCCAGCCACAGCCCCAAATAAACATCAGAAGCACATTTGCATGCCCAAGTTGTCAGACACCTCTATTGCATTCTGACATTTACAAAGTAGAGGAGAAAAAACACCTGCATTTTCAGATAGGGATAATGGGAAAAGACAGCCTAACTAACATGATTCAAAATAAACTCTGTGAATGCGGCAAGCAATAATAAATTAACCTCCTGTGGAGAAAAAGCTCCTCAGACCTGTCTAATGCAATAAACTACCCATTTCATTTCACTCTGCTGCCAGGGATCAGGTTCAGGATATAAGGAAGGTAATGGGTATAAACAGAAACAGATTATGTCCAAAAAGTACACATTGCAGCCCATTAAAGCTTTGTAATGCCGTTTATATTTACCACTTGCTAATGGGCATTGACATAATCTATGTTAAATAGTGAGAATGTTCACGGACATGAACCAAAATAAATCGCACAGCAGAAGGTAAAAGTTTTCTGATTCTGGTTCAGTGTCTATCGTAGACAAGGGAATACCTCCTAACGGCCTCTAAGGGCACAGAGGCCAGCAGTGAATATGTACCGTATATATGAGGGAAAATATAAATAAATGAAGGGGTTCTAAAACTTTTTTTCACATTTTCTATATTGGCAATGTTGAAATGGAATAATTTCCTAAATATACAACATTTAGATAATATAAGACACATACAGGGCCCTTTTTCTTACCTCCCGCCTCTGGAAATTCCCCCTCAAACTGTTTTTATTTATGTTGACTTGCAATTACAACATTAAGACCACACGCAGATTTAAAACTATTGCCTAACAAGAAAAAATGATTCAGCAAAACCCCAATATACATCCAATGCCAACGTTCTTTTTCTTGCCCTCTCTGTTCATGGCATCACAGTATGCATAAAGCTGGAGTAGGACGTTTTTTGGAAAATGTCAAATAAAAGCCGCATAATGTAATAAGAATATCCTGCAGCTGTCCCTCCTCTGTCCTAAGCCCCTCCCACCAGATAAGGATGGGCATATGCACACGCTTCATATAGTAACCTGTACGAATACTTGTCATTCATTTTAAACATCATCCTGATTGTGATAGTGATGCTGATGCCGTTTTATAGCGTTAATCCTGGGAATTACCCTTGTGTTTTCTTTGTAAACTGATGAGCCCATAAAGGCCTTTAAGATAACGTACTGTGATTTGAGACTCTAGCTAGCAGCATAGCAGCAGCTCTTCAACAAATGCAAAGAGCCAATAACAATTCTCTCTCTGAAATGACCTGGGCCAAAGTCTCCTGTCACAGGTTAGATTTTCTAGGAACAGCCAGCAGCCTGTTGGTTTAGAGGGTTGGCTAAGCTAACTGGCTAAGCTAACAGCTGTGGCCCCTTATAAAAGGGTGAGGCAGACATGTGTTCAGCTTATTTCCCAGCGGGCTATTGCTGTTATATATTTCATTTTTGTTTAAACTGAATAAATCAGGTATAACTTGTTAAATTACCTTTGCAGGTGCTGGTAGGCAGGTTTTGCTACCTTTGGACAGAGCCAGGCTAACTGCTTCCCCCTCCTATGCTCAACCATCTGCTGGCTCTATTCCAGTTTATATATATATATATATATATATATATATATATATATATATATATATATATATATATATATATATATATAACATTTCCTTAAATTGGACTTAAATCTTAGGGTGGTGAATCCTCCAAAATGGAAGTAAGTGTGGTTTAGTTTGATGATTTACTTTAGTTCAAAATGAGAAGAGTGAGCGATTAATTGCTTCCTTCCTACATAAAAAAATAAATTGATAAGTCAAAATAATCTTCATGTGGAGAACTGAAGTGTGTAAGTTTTCAATGATATCAAGTGTGCCGGAGCTCCTCTGCACATGTACTAAGTGTTGCAGAAGATTAGGCGAAAGCAATGTGATGTCTTTTGATGTCTATTTTATTTCATCGCTGTAAAAGTAATATATATTTGGCAGTCAAAACAGCAACATAGCGCAGCCTTAAAGCAAGGTTATTCTGCTCCCAATCTGTTGGACTGAGAGAAAGGGAATGCAATAGATAATTTCTCCATAAGGTTTAGCAGCCCCAAGCAAGGTTGGTCCCCCTCCAATATCCTAGCCTAGGCTCATCTCCAATTCAAAACACACATAAATAACGTCGGTGTGATTAGCAATCCCATCAAAGGGAAAACAGGCCACTTTGTGGAACATGGAGGGTTTTTGCAATTGGAGTAAACATTTTCAATTGCCTCGGCATCCTGGTCATGATTGGGTGCAAATGAGGAGAGGCAGTCATTAATTCTGGGTGGTGGGTGGGGATGAACGGGGAGTGGGCAGAGGCATGGCACAGATGACTGGCTGATAAATTCAAACTCATTCCAGCAGCTGTCTGGAAGAGTAAAGTGCCTGTATCTCTACACATGGCTGCCCTCCTGTTCCTGCATCACAACATACTGAATGAAACAGTTAGAGGGAAATACAGACCTTCAAAAGTCTGTGCGCTCTCTTTGGGGATGTACAATCTGGCATCAAGTGTCTGGCAAGGAGGCTCGCCTCATCAGCCATAGAACAACCGCCCCCCACCCCACCCCACCACGCTGACCAATTTTAAGAAAAAGTTGACGAAATCAGGAAATATTAGCAGACCGGCTCCTCCAGCAGAAGTTCGGAGACAGGCACCTTTGAATATAGCTGGCTCCCTCTTTGAACTTTCCTCTCTTGTTTTCACATCAAAAGACATGAAAGGGGTAGCAAAAAGCAGGACAGCCACCCCCCAATTCCTCTCCCTTGAGTCACGGCTGTCTGCAGCAGTCCTGTCCTTTCAAGGCACAACCAGGACTACAGCCAGTCATTAACAATCAAAGTGTCTCCCTATCCTTCTCTGATGCTTCCTTTTCACCGCTGCGTGTCTTTATCCAGCTCCGTCATTAGACTCTGATCCTCATGATGAAATGCTGTTTTAAGAATGTTCACAAGTGAGAAATCTTCTGTCTCAGGGCATAATTAGTGCCATGCTATTTTTTTCCCCTAGATGCTCTGCATGGGAAGGTTTCAAGAATTTCATACCCACTAATTTGACCATTTTTTTTTCTGCCAGCGACGAGCTCTCTTAGAACCTCTAGGAACTGGTTGTATAATGATGCTACAGCATGACTTCAAAATAAGACTGTTCCACCTGAGAAAGTCACCAAATATTTAAAGGTGTGTCATTTTTCGGAAGTAAATAAAATGGCCGATGCTCTGCAAAAATCGTGTACCACTCTGTAATGCAGAAATTGTTTGTTTTTTGGAGGGTTGAAAACTTTCTTTTTTTGCCCTAATTTGGCTCGACTAATACCAGCTAAAACCAGAGAAGTGCTGTCAATGATTCACAGCAACCTCACATGTTTTGAGGATGTTATTTATTGAAGTAAATAACATAAAGAGCTGAAGGGTTAGTTCACCTCCTCTATTGAAGAGTTAGTTTGCAGCTGGACATTTAAAGAAAGGAGGAGACAGCCGCACAACTTTATGTTTCTGAAAAAGACAGTAAGTTCTGTACGGGCCAAATGTTGCTGTAATATAATGTAAACGGGTATCTTACCGTTATGGATAATTGTATATAAGAATGGACATCGTTTTATGGTGAACTTGATGTACTTTTGTTCTTTGTGTCTATTCATCATTTGCAAATATTATCATGGTAAAATTTAAGCTGAGATGTTGACCATGCTAAACATCATCATTTTCATTGTGAGCATGTTAGCATAAGCATGTATTTAAAAGCACAGTTGTGCCTAAGTGTAGATCACAGAGCTGCTAAGGTTGTAGAAACAGTCTAAGCGATATAGGCTAGTTATAGCCAGTAGTCTATATTTTATACTGTTGGTATAATTGCTATTGGTAAACTGCACCTTCTAGCAACGTAGAGCTGTGCAAAGCTAATTAAAAACAGAAAAACATAACTGGCATCCTAGTGGTCTAAAGACAAATTGAAATCTGCCATTACATATGGCGAAATGTTGATTTGAGAATTAGAAATAAAAAGGAGTGGATCGGCTTTGTGATTGTGTGGCTCTCTCCTCCTCTCCCGAAAAGGAAACACCAACATAACCAACCATTAATGTAAATATGCACAGATGAACATACTGCGATGGACAGCCAATCAACAGACATCAACAGAAGCAAGCACTTCCAAATGAACAGCAGGTAGCAAAAAAGAAAGAGTATACCTGTCACGGTTTCAGCAGCTCCTGTTGCAGCGCAGGGCGAGGGCGAGAGAAGAAGAGAAGAAAACAGACAGGTTGTGAGCAGACAGGATGCAAGCAGAGAATCATATTCCACTGGTAAAGAAACTTATTCATAAGTGACAAATGAGGCTGTTGAAATTCATTAAATTCAATCTCCATATGCTATTCGTGTAATTTTCCACCAATTAAGACAAATACAAAAAGCATCATAATGAGTAATCATCCTGTTCTTCCACAGGTGCGTACGATCCCTGACATAATGAGCCATTTTCTCTCTTCATCCAGCGCTATATTAATATGGAGGTACAGAGGGGATATGTGGACTTTGTTTTCAACCCCCCTCATGTCCCTGATTGAGATTCCAGCCAGCCCTGCTCGAGAGCAGCCACTGCCTGGAGGCGCTCCCTTGGGACCCTGCGGTGGATCCTGGAGAAGAGAGCACCCATTCGGAACGGTGCCCACCCAAACTGGCATCTCGCAGGGCATGGGAGACTGGCGTGTTCCCAAGTCCCCGCAGCAGTGCTCAGGGCCTGTACCCTCGGGAGAGCTTCCATCATTCATTGTCTGCTATTCATAAACAACCCCCCATCCTCTTTTGCTCTCTCTCTCTCTCTCTCTCTCTCCCACACACACAAACTTTCTCCCCTGCCCTCTGCCACACACCTATATATCTACATTTTGATATTTCACACACCGTCTTTCTATATTGACATTTCACACACACTTTGGAGCTTCTTTACTCTGGCTGTGAGCAACGTGGGCTTCAGTGCCGAGCGTACAGTATGTCGAAGTGACTGCTTGTCTCACTTGTCATTGCCGGCATAATAAGGGTGTAAGGTATGACACATGTCCTTGTTAAACTCCTTTGTGCATTTTCAATGTGTCAGCAATTCCCTCAGGACAAAAGACACGTGAGTGACAAATCACACATGATGGGAAACACATTTTCAACAGTGTCCAGGCGCCTGCTTCAATATCTCACACGGCTTAAGCCTCTGCTTCTTTAAAAATGGCAGGTGTCAGTCAAAACAGTGTATTTTTCACATGTTAATTCAACATAATGAGGCTTTTGGGGGCAATTCTGCTTCAGCTGAAAGAGATTTGACCAAAACGAGGCTGCGAGGTTGATAGCCAGACTCAAACTCGAGCTTGAATGAGCACAGCGTATGCATCCCAGTCCAACCAGCCCTCAGGACAGCCCATAATGAGGCTTTTGAGCTGCTTTAATTGCCAGGTAATTATTATGTTGTAGAAACATTATGTAAATGACTCATTATCATCTTGTATGTGTAGCATATCTGCCCTCGTTTTATGTTACAAGAGTGTAAAAAACCAGAAATATATCACCCTGATACCGGTGCATCTCAGTGTTTAATCTTGTCAACAGACACCTACATATCTTAACAGAGAGACTTGTGCTATAGTGCAGTGACACCTTCCGTAACCCTTCAGTATGATCCACTTCCTGCTGGTGGCCTCTGAAGGGGCTATAAATAGCGTTGTGGCTTGTCTGCCGTGCTCCCCTTCTCTTCCCTGTCCCTGCAGTACATTAGGTAGAAGTTATGAGGTGCCAGCTCGCCTGTGATTAGATGTCATGGCTGTCGCTCTGCTTAGACAGTGCTGATAGACAGATTTCTGGGGAAACGCGTGTGATGGCATTCGTGCGAGTGCAGCCGTTGCACCAATCTGTCAATCACGGCGGATGAGAGCAGGCAGGCCAACCATCCTCCAAATAATGTCTGTCCTTGTCTCCTCACCTCTTCTTCTGTTCCTCCGAAGCAGAAACCGCAAAAGTGGAACATTTCCCCGTTTTCCACCTACATTGATGCTACATTTCCAACTGGAAACACGCTTGCTGTGAACATTTGAAAGTGCATGTTTTTAGCACTCCATTATGTTTTCCAGAAGACGTGAGGCTCCAGGTGCTTTGGCATTCAGGCACCTGTGTTCACTCCATTGTCACCCGAACAAATCCATCGTAATCTGCATTCTTTTTTGAGTCACAGAGGCAAACAACGATCTCAGGTGACTGGCTGTCTGGGGGGTAGCAGAGGCACATAGCCTCTCTCTCTCTATATATAATGCTGCTGCTCAGTAAAAGCAGTGGGGTAACACTAATGAGGCAACGTTTCTTCACAGTACTAGTGTGATGCCTTTGAATTAATGTTCTTCCTTTCAGGTAAAACATTCCCTTGCTTATTTATGCTCATAATCTGCTGCGTGTTGCATGTCAACTAGTGTGTGATCGCACTGCATTAGAGGACACAACAGAGTTGGATGCTGGAACTCTGTGTAGTTCCCCATTGAGATCCACATTGGTTACCCTTGTGTGTGTGTGAGTGTGTGTGGAGCCATGCGTTCTTACTGTGTGTAGCCCACTGTGTTTTCATTTAATTAGAGGGATCAGAGGTGGGCTTCAAACTTTTTCTCTTCAAGAAGTCGAATGGAGAAGCGAGCTCCTGCAGAGTGGACCCAATAAACACAGGCGACTTTTGAGGTCAGGATTTTCACAAAAGAAACTGATCAAAGTGTTCCGGCTGTCCTCACCAAAAAGAAGAAGAAGAAGAAGAAGAAAAAACTTCCGACACCTGTTGTAAGTCTTTGTTGTCAGCCATGATTGTTTCAGGTACACATTAAATAATTCATATATTATCTACAGATTTTCTGTATAAATTGGAATTTGACAAACAATCCAAAGTTCCACTAAATAGTATTTCCCAGAGCTTTCAACCATATTACTCTGTCTTCATCAGCAAATGCAATGATTTTGAGATATCCATCTTCATGGCAACTGTGCAAACTCCATATCCTGGTTTATTTATATTCTGTGACAGCAAACCTTTGGGTTTCGTACTATTTGTTTGACAAAACAAGCAGTTTACTGTAAGAAAATGTGATTTCATTGGCACGTCTCACTATTTTCTGACCTTATATACACCTAACAAATAATAGAGGAACTAATTGTTAGATTAATTGATAATATAAATGATTATTTGTTGGAGCCCAACTCCATATGCAAGTGAAGATAGCATCATACTTCCATGTTCAATAATTGAATGCTTATTACTGGAGGCTTGCACTTTAACAGATGATGCATCTGTGCCTGTAGTGGCTTGTTTATGCAGTTTGGTGCATTATTTAGTAATTTAGTTGCATTGTATTTACAGACTTGGCCTGCTTCTTTTATTATTATCATCACTCAGCTACAGCTTAATCCAGCCTAACATGTCAGTGAGATATCAAAAAACGCTCACCTGCAAACACTACTGGGAATACTCAGATTAATTCTCCCCAGAGTCGACTGAAACATATTAATCAGGTTGGTTTACAGGAGATGCAAAGCATGTTCTTGCACGATAAAGTGGAATAAGTAGGAGATTTTGCCAGTATCCCCACAGAGGTGGTTAATTGCTCAGTGTTAATGAGATTCGCTTTGTAAATGTCCGATCTCTGACCTGAATGTTTATGTTGTACTCATTAAAAGACAGGAGGACACATGTAGTTGAAGACAATTTTTACTTTGAGGGATTAAGGATTAAGGATAATCCTTCAGAAATGCTGTCGGATAGAAAGCAGATATATTGAATTTGGTACCTTGCTTGCTCTTAGTAAAGTGCTATTGGCATCTACAATTGCAGATAATAAACAACACTAGATGGTTGTTCTTATGAATAAAAGGCTCAAATTAAGACATTTCAGCTTCAGTAATTCCTTTAAGAACAAAAAAAGGTGTGTAATCTTGTGTGACTGTGTCCTGTCACTCACAACACACACGGAAATGTCTCTGCTGCTGACACGCACGCAAAAATAAGCTGCAAACGGCAGCCAGCCACTTTAATGACAACTCAGGCAGCGTTCGGCTCACACAGTTGTTGTCAAGAAGAAAGAGAACACTAACACATTTTTGCCTACTGTAGATGCCAGGCTGCTGTTCCACACAGCCTCGTCACAGCCTCGACAGACACAGAGCTCTCCCCGTTACACAAATAAAACAGCATCAAAATGCGATAAGATCACAGAGACACAAAAGCTAATTTCACATATATCATGAAACAAGACTATTCTACGAGAGGATGTCTCAAATCAACATAATATCAAGCAGGAAGAGCGTTATAGTAGCAAACTATTAAGTCATGCTGATTGTGACAAATGCAGCAACTTCAGAGGTCTATAAATCACCAACCAAGTGCATTCGCTAGGAGGTAGTACAATGATTTCCTTTTTCCTACGAGGCACAATCATTCACTCTGTTATGTTAACAAGACCGGTTGACTGAGCATGGACTTAAGTGCAGCAGCGGCAGTGTCGCTCCGCACCCAAAAACCAATGCAGCAGAGAGAGAGTCTTGCTTAAAGCCAAGGCAAGCTTAACCTCTGGCAAAGTGACACATCACATCTCATTCGGATTGTCTATTTCGGGTGACGCTGCATCTTTTTGTGTTTTGCTCTTCAGAGGCAGCAGGCACTGCTGCGAAGCCTCTTTTCAGCGCCGGTCTTAGTTTCTTTTAAAAAGAAAACTTGCGGCAGGAGTGCTGCGTTTGTTACCACAGGAGAGAAACGGTAGCTCTGATTCAACACGCAGCCCTGCCCGGATCAAAACGCATGCAGAACGATTTAAATCAAAGCCTCCAAAGAGTCTTGAGGGAGGGATATTTTTTGCTTTTCAAAAAGACGCTGTAATGCCTCACCTATATAGTATGGTCTCTTGCCAGGAAAGCTCACATGAGCAATGCTCACAGAAGCAATGTGTGTGTGCTTTCCTGTCTGCCAGTAGATCTGCTTACTCACTATGAATGTGCATCTGCACAAGCCTTTCTGTGTGTATGTTTGTCTCTCTGTGTGTGTGTGTGTGTGTGTGTGTGTGAGAGATGGTTAATTAGGACATTAGGAGAAGCTTCTGACAGGCTTGTCATCGCCACAGCCTGCCCAGTGAAAAGGAGGTGGTCAGAGGGGTAAGTGGGAGTGCAGCAGGGTCAAGAGACAGCTGCTGCACCACCACTCACT